TCTGAAACAGCAGACAATTTTAAAAGCCCTTGTGTTTGGCCCAGGCATACTTTACAATCACACTCTGATTATTCACACTAATGAAAGGAAGGGCAGGCACCTGGAGAAAGAGCCAACGACAGTACAGACCTGCTCATCTGGTTTAGGTTCCCTCCAGGCAGAGGCCCTCGGAGCACAGCAGAAGGAAAACAACCGAGCCCCAGCTGCTGCGCAAGGTGACCACCAAAACACTGATGCTCAGCTACAATGTCCACATCAGCACCTTTGCTGATATTAGTCATCTTTAGAAGCATGGGGTTAGCTCCAAATGCCCTCAGGTAAAAGGCCACATTATCCATGTTCCAAATAGTTAGGGTAAGAATAGACTGTTTACATGTACTGAACGCTTCTTTGGGGGTTCCCTCGGGCCCACCTTACCCCGAACCCCAAGTACTTCTACCAAGCACACTCAGGAGAGTAGCAGGAAGGATGGATATGAAAGAGGCAGTGTGCTGGAGTAGGAGAAGGCCCAGCCTGGGCGTCAGGAGGCCTGGATCTCTGTCCCCTGTCGGTCCCTGCTAGGGCCAACAGCTGCATGTGCAGTCAGGCAGAGGGAGCAGTATGTGTGACAGCACCTGAAGGTCACAGCACATTAAAGAACCACATATACTTCGTTTTGGTCAAAGAACAGATGGAAAAGAAGCAAGACATAAAATCAGGATGTAGTCAGAAGTAAAAGACAGAGGGTTTTTTTTTAATGCCATGCAAGAGAAAAATAAATTTTTTAATAGTCATTAAAATGTGTTGAACACATACAGCTTGTCCACACACTGCTCCAGGCATTAGACATTCACAAACACATTTAATATTCACAACAAACCTGAGATAGACACTATCAGGGTTCTCATTTTACAAATGAGGAAACTGAGGCACGCAAAGCTTAGATATCTTTCTAGATCACCCAACTGGCAAGTCGGGGAGTAAGGGTTCTGTCCTAGTCTGTTTCATTTCAAGGTTCATTCTCTATCTCAAGAAATGGATGTGGGCAGAATTTTACAAGTTCAGGCTAGAAGCAGTGCACCAGAGAGATGGGGGCAGAGTGGAGTGGAGGGAAGCCGACTTTAAGAACACATGGAATGGTGAGTTTAGTACTAAAGGGAAAATAATAGTAATGGTGAAGAGGGGTATAAGCGAGAGTTTTAGAGAACATAGAACAAAAGCATTGGTTAAATAAAGGAGAGAATAGGAGGAAAAGTCTAGCAAGAGTCCATGTTTCTAGCTTAGGCATTGTGGGATGGCCTGGTGATTTTTAAAGAATCATTCAATCTTGGGCATCCGTGAACTTACCTGGAAAACAACCCTACTAGATGGGCAGGCCCGGGAGGGACCAGCACAAGTGATGCCTTTTATTTCCCAGTATGACGCTGCCATGTATCCAAATACACAAATGTCCAATCTTAGCTGATGGAATTAGTGGTAGCTAAACCAGTTATGTCCAAATCTGTAGGACAATATATAGAACAGACACTCCAAACAAGTTACTGAAAGGTGGAAGACTTTTTTATTGTTTTTCAAAATTGAATATATTAACTCACATTTAGCTTTTCATGTCATATCCATGTGTAGCTATAGAGAGACAGGTAAGGGAGAAGGGACTCCAGAAGAATAAAAAGGAGGCAGACAGGTTAGAGCTTATTGAGATGTTTGTATCTTAAAGAGACAAAGACCACTTATGGGATGTTCCTATGAGGGCAATAAAAAAATGGTATATGTGCCTGAAAGTCTGTGAATGTATAGAAAAAGACAAGAAGTACATACTCAAAATTTGAAAATAACTCTAATTTTTATATTTTAGTTCTTCTTCATTTATATGTTTTTAATATCCTACAATTATCATGAATTGCCTTCATAATACAAACATTTTGTTTGTTTCCAACTATGTGATTAATATCCACTTTGTATTTAGAACTTTGCCAATATAAATTGACACACAGCTGGGAGACCCTCACCGATGAATAACCCACATATGATGATAGTGATGGCGGTAGACACCTTTCAGCACTGCCCTTGAAGCCAGCTGAGACACTGGAACGTTTGGTACATGGAGAACCTGTGTGTCAAGAATCAAAGGAGGTAGGAAATGGATGAAAAGTGCAGACGGCTTAGAGCACCTGCCCTTAGAAGCACATGCCTGGTCACACCATCTTTCTTGGTTGTTGCAGCCTTTCTTCACTGTGGCTTTCCTCTCAGTGTCTGAATATCTCACTTTCTCTTGTTACAGTTTCTGAAATTCCATGTTATCTATCCCCTTCTAAAAGCATAGGACTAGAAAATTCAGATCTCACATCCAGAGGATGGACATGGTAGAGAGGATGAGGAGGGTGATCATGGTAAGGAGAGGGGGGAGGATTCCTTTGTTAGTGTTCAATGGTACTTCGTGGTTTATGAGGCGCTTCCATGTATTTCACATGGCAATAACAATTTCTAGTTCAAGATGGAAAACAGAGTACACACATTTCATTCTTCTCCTCCTCACAACCCCATTGAAATGGGAGTGATTTTTTTAAAGAATCCACCACAAAGCTGAAAACAAAAGAATAAAGTTCCGGTAGAACACACTTACTAAATAATTTCTAGATAACTGAAAGAAAATAGGACTGAATTGTCTGATAAACTAAAACAAAGAATTACAACGTACACTCTCACACCGAAGGTGACCAGTAGGGATTCAGAGGGGTCCCTCCAGAGGGTCCGCTGGCCTGTCCCACATGGGCTGCTCACAGAGAGCATCCATTCTCACTGAACAGTGCAGGTTTACAGTCGGCATCTACTCTGCACCTACTGTTTACAGTTGGCATCTGATTGGTAATTGTATCAGGTGACGAATATTGAATATCATCTCTGCTTTAGCCCATCTGTCAACAAGGCCATATAATTTCAATCACAAAAGGGCCAATATTTGAGGATTTTTTGTGGGTCTCAAATTTGAAGCTGGAGGGAGGAAATGAGGGTGGTCTCTGTCATAGCAACTTTAAGGCTATGAGAAATTTTATAGAAAAATGTTGACCTCTCTTCTTTCATTTTCCCTATCCACCATGCTTGTAGAGTTTTCCCTCCTTCTTTCCTAGGTGGTTGAGACAAAGAATAGGTGAGCCCTGTTCTAGAAGTCTACCAAAGGTAGCCAAAAGATCAAGTCCCAAACCAAGATGTTAAATCCAAGGGGCATAGCAGACTAGAGGAACCATGATGGACAGCCCAAACTGGTTGAATGGGAGAAGCAAACAAGAAGCAGTAGAAAGAAATACGAGGCTCGTGCTGACAGCAACTGCAGGCAGATGCACTTTGCCTCCAGCTCAGGTTGCTGGCCGCCAGCTGAGTTCTGAACAGGCACCAGAGAAGTAATGGCCTCAATAGAATCACCACAAACCGGACCTAAAACCCATTATTTCAGCTGCCCTATTTCTTCTCCCATCTTTTAGTGCAAACTTACGCCTAAATTTCTTAACTATATAATTTCATCTTTGACACACCAAAACTAATAGATGGCCAAAGTTTGAGGTCAGCCCCAATTTCTGCCAACATAAAGCCAAAGTCAAAGTTAAACCAAAGTCCAAACGTTAGATTGGTATCCACTGTGGCTTCGAGGTTGACAATGGCATTCGTAAAACTGAGGGCTTTGCTTCCTGAGGAACCACAAGCTCAGATCCCACCAGGAAGTGCTGACAGGGTCGATGAGACTTTGTTGAGGATTTGTGGGGATCTTCAGAGCACGTCCGCCCTTCGGAGCCCTTCCTGACATCACTGGGAGTTATAAGCTCCCAAGGGTGGTAGAACTGGGTCCTGAATGTCATTTTCATAGCTCCTCCCTGGCTAACCAAGGAGAAAGTAAATAAAATGCCACTGAGCTACCTGCCATTTTGTGTCCCACACACCCTCCAGCCAGAAGCAGAAGTGGCGTCATCTTTGCAAAAGGTTAAAAATTATGGGAATTTTTTCTGTACTTTGAAATATTACATGAGAATCACTTCTATAAAATGATGATTATCTGCACTTTCCCCCTGTCTCCCAATCTAATAAATACATTTTTACAGGGTTTACAATGTTTTTTTACAACCCACCTAAAACATGTAATTTTCCTCCTCCTATACCACATGTTTAATACTTATTAGATTATATTGTGCTTTCCTCCAAGGAAAGGCTCAAGGTCCCACACAGAACTCTTATGTAACAAGCATTATGTGAAACTCATCTTTAAAACTATAAACAGGGAAGTCACCTGTGTGGTGGCAGAAAAGATATGAGCAAGGACAGGAAGAAGGACCGTGGATCTGGAGAAATATGCGACCAAGTAGTGTGTTAGGGGACCCAATGATCAGGAGACTCTGTCCTGCCCCTTGCAGCCAATCCCACCCGCGAGGCCCCTGGCAGTGCCCCTTCTTCTACATGACGGAGCCCAGATAACTCCAGGGGTGCGGTGTGGGTATACAGGTGAGTGAGGAAGTAGTGGAGCGTGCTAATTAATCACTCAGGGCTCTTGAGAGGGTATCTTTGCAAACAAAGACACCTACACAGACAACTGTGTTTTGAAACTCAGAGGAAAGAGCTGCATGGCGATGTTTTATAGGACATCATTGTTACACGTCACCAAAACGTTAGATGTCTGCTTTCCAACCTGTACAGTTTATGTTCAGTCCTCAGTTCTGCTGAGTGTCTGGGACCTCCAAGGGCTCTGCAGACTCTCAGAGGCCAAGGTAGCACCAAAGTTCAAAGATTCTCAGTGATTCCCAGGCTGCATCGATTTAACAAAGCCACATGTTGATGCCCCGCAGGTGTGGTCTGTGCAAAGGTGGAAGGGAATTTAAACAGCAACTCTCCCAGCAGCTGCTGGGAGTTTGCTGTTTAAATTCCCTTCCAATGAAGGGAATGTTCGAATTTTTGAAGGCAATGAAGGAGATGTTCGAATTTTTCAGTCCAGAGCAGAAATGAGCATTTTCACTAAGTAGAGCAGACAAATAACTCACCTGTCAGGGCAGAGTAGGAGAGACTCTAGCCAGGAAAAAGAACAACAATACTGTTATCAGTCACAGTTATAGAGGTTCCTAGAGTTAATAATAATGATGCTGTCGTTGTTGTTGTCTACTGGGTGCTGTGTGCCAGGCACTCTCGTGCTCCAGTTACACAGGCCAACTGGCTTAATCTCCAGAACAAGCAGACATGATTATTTCCCTCATTTTACAGATAAGGAAACAGACAAGTTATTTGCCCAAAGTCACTCAGCTAGTAAGTGACTGCACCGGGATTCAGACTCAGCTCAAAAGCATAGGTAAGAGGGGGAAACAAGCAAAAAGAAGTCACCGTGACTTCTGTGCATTAACAAAGGCAGCAGGCACTTGGGCTCCAGTCCCCCCGCCAAAAGCTACTGATAGAGAGTAAACAGCACAACAGCTAGTTTGAGGCAACTGATAGATGTTTCTCTCCCACATTTCTGTCTGTCTGTCTCTCTGTCTCCCTCTCAAATCAATGAACATACACTTGGGTGAGAATAAAAATAATGTCGGGCTAGACCCCGAGTCCAGGGAGTCTGGCTCCAGAGCCCATCGTCACTGCTGCCCGGCTGTGCTGCTTCTGAAACCCTATTCTATTCACTCCCCCCCAGCTCTCTCTCTGCTTCTCTCTGTGACCCCCTTTCTGATCTGCCTGACCTCTCCTGGTTGTGTCTCTCATTTTCATTCCCAGAGGGCCAGTCCCTTCAATTACCCAATATTTTTCTAGCCAATAGGAAAAATTGTTATTTTTAGGGGCACTGGGGCAAATTTGAGGAAGAAACCAGGGACCAATGTCCAAAGCAGAGGGTGAACAGATGTGAACAGATGTCTGATGGGACACCTGGACTGACGGAGACCACTGTAGCAGCTTGGTGTTCAGCCCTCCTCACCACCGCCCTGGGGTTCAGCAAAGGATCACAGAACATGAGCCCTGCTGTGTGAAAAGGGACTTGGTTTCTTCTGCACAGTTGGAGGCTGTGCCACCCTCCTCCTTCTTTGCTTTCTGCCTCCTTGCCCCACCCTATGCCCCAGACAGGCAGAACCCTCCAGAAATAACTCATCCCAGCCCTGCCTGCAGAGGGGAAGGAGCTTCTCCTACCTTCCACCTGGTAAGCTGCGGTGGCTGCCCCCCAGCCAAAGCCCACAGGGAAAGCCATGATTGCCGGAGGACAGCTGGCGACCTGGAACACACGGCCAACAGGAGCACTGTGCTCTTTAGTCCCAGCAAGCAGCCCAGCCACTGCACCAACAATGGTTATAAACCCTCACCCCTGACAGGGGTCACAGAATGCAACTGTGGATGCCAATGAGACAGGGCCAGATTAAAGGCTGCCACTTGATTGGCCACCGCCTTACTAAGGAGAAGAAACTTTGGACCAGAGGAGCAAGCTAGCCACTGCCCTTCTCCTCCAGGCCATCACTCCTAACAGAGCCGGATGGGCTGGGAGCCAACACGCTGCTGCTTCGACAGGTCTCCCACTCATCAGATCTTTGGCCTTTGATTGAAACACATGGGCTTTGTTTTTTAGAGCCACACAATCCTACTAGAATTTTCCCTTAAACAATTCCTCCCAATTCCTAACCTACACTCCTTAGTAGTAACTATTGTCAACTATTTCTTCTGGTACAGTAGCAGACCACCCCCCACCCCCTGCGTATTTGAGGGAGATACACACCAAGACGCCCTTACGGATGCCTGAAACCTATATATACTCTACACACATATACCTATGGTAAAGTTTAATTTATAAATTAGGCACAGTGACATACGACAATAATGAATTATGAAATAGAACAATTTTAACAATACACTCACTGTAAGAACAGTATGTGAATGTGGTCTGTCTCAAGATACCTTGCTGTGCTGGACTCACCTTCCCCTTGTGATGATGCGAGACCCTACGAAGTCTATGTGATGAGGGGAAGTGAATGTCAGAGCCATTGCGGCTCAGCATCGAGCTACTCTTGCCTTGGGGGCCATTTTTAAATAAAATAAGGGCTGCTTGAACGCAAGCATCGTGTCTGAGAGCAACTACACTGTGAGATGCTGGACAAGGGGATGAGTCTGCTCTTGGGCAAGACAGAGCCTGATGTCGCAAGATTTTTTTCTTGCTACTTAGGCGTGTAATCTAAAACTTAGGAATTGTTTACCTCTGGGATTTTTTTACCTAGTATTTGCAGGCCACGGTCTACAGCAGCTAACTGAAACAAGTGAAACTTGTGGATAAACTTACAGGTAAGCAAAGTGAAACTGCAGATAAGGAGAGAACACTGTTTTCTTCCATGTGGTTTAAATAGTAGGCTGATGCTCATGCTTCCTCGTTTGTTTTCCGATTTCCGATGATGATTACTGACTTCTAGATATGAGTAGAAATCCTACTTCAATTTCTCTCTGTCTCCCCCTTTCTCTCTCTCTTTTCCATCTACTGAACAGGCTAAGCTTACCTTTTCTGTTTAAGTAAATATTTCATTACATTCCTATGACTATATATGGTTCAAAATTCAGCCATGCATAAATTGTTGCTTACATGTAACTTTGCATTTTCTCTGGGGTTAATCAACTACGTGGTTTTCATATTTAATTTTTCTACACCTGTAACTAATTCACCCCCAAACAATCTGACCAGACTATAAATCTCTGGGTTGTTCAAACTCCTCTATTTCCCTGCTCCGCTCTGCACTGTTGCCAGCTATAATCTGCTGCCTCCTTCCCCATCTCCTGAGTTTCCCCATCTTTGTTTCTCCTTCCTTTTTGGAGAAGCAAGTCCTCAAATAACTTTCTGATAAAAGGGACATGAAAGGTACACTTTTTGAAACCCTGTAGTTCTAGAATCGTCTTTATTCTAACATCACACTTGATCTGTATTTGTGTATTATGGTGTTTGCTGATGGACAGCATTTTCGCTCAGAAATTTGAAAGCATGGTTTCATGGCTTTCTCGCTACTGATGTGGCTCTTGCGAACACAGATGCCCGTCCCAGTCCTGACCTTTTCTATGTGACCTTGCCGTGTCCCCCAGGCTTCTCTTTCTGCGGTTTTAGTCTGGTGCCTTGATGTGGGACTCACCCAGGCAGGCACTCGGTGTGTGACCCAGAGTGACGCGGAATGCTGGTCCAGAGAAAACTGGGGGCCACACTGCTGTCCACACTGTCCTGTCTTTGTAACTTTTCTGTATCTCCAGCACAGATCCACAATTAAAAGTTCATCTTTTTAAATGCCCATAAGAGAGGAGTTAGGCAAAACCAAAGTGAGAAAAGTTGCTTTTCAGTTCCCTCAAGTCAGCACTGAATTACCCTACACCATCGGACATAAGGAACACAAGGTCGGAATGAGGTGTAACTAGGTCGAACTCTCACCCTCTCTGGTTATCCTAACCCCAAGAGGAAAGATGTTAATAGAAAAGGGAATGAAGGAAGGCATTTAAAGGTACATGTTTAGGGATATAAACATAAAAAATACAGGGCATACTACTAAGCTGAGTCCTCACAGTCGTTCAGTTATGAAGCAATCAGGGTAACTTCGGTTAAAAATGCATATTAAATTATTTTCATAAGGCCCACTAGATGGCAGCATTGCAACTTTTTTAGGTTTACGAGTTGCTGTACAGAGTGTCTCTAAGATTCAGTTATCCCACCAGGGGCCAGATGCCCCAGCAACCCCTGGCTAATTGCTATGGCTCTTCTACCGAATTCTCCAGAAAGAACACTCTACCCTCTCAGCATTCCACATTCTCTGAAGTTACTTGACCACAAATGGCAGAATTTAATTTTTCTCAGCTCTGATGGAATTCTGTAGGATAGGGTTGTCAAGAGTTTTGGTGTAAAGACATCTTTATACTCTTTAACTGAGGCCTTTGAAGAGATCTTTCGAATGTGAGTTATATATTTTTTAAAGATTTTACTTACTTATTGAGAGAGAGGGGAAGGTAGGGAGAAAGAAAGGGAAAGAAACATTGATGTAAGAGAGAAATATCAGTCCGTTGCCTCATGCACGCACCCCAACCAGAGACCAGGCCTGCAACCCAGGCATGTTTCCTGATCAGGAATCGAACCAGTGACTTTTCACTTTGTGGGATGAGCCGCAACCAACTCAGCCACACCAGCCAGGATGAAATGTGGGTTATGTTTATCAATATTTGCTCTATTCGAAACTAAAACTGAGACTTAAAAATAATATTTACTGATGATTTCCTCTTAAATAGTATTAAAAGCATGTGAACATAAATAACATATTTTATGAAAAAGAGTCATATGCTCCAGAACAAAAAAAAATTTAGTGGGAAGAGAGTTTTACGTTTTTGCAAATCTTTTACACGCCAGGCTTAGTGGTCAGGTGGGGGCTCCCGTCTGCTGCTCATCCTGTGCGTCGCCTCCCGAAAGCTCCTCTGCCACTCACAGAACAAGAGATGAGAGTGAAAAAGGGCAAATGAGTTGCCCTTTGAAGCACAGGGGTCCTCTCAGGGTGTCACGACCCAGAGAGCTTCGACCGGGTGGGCGCTCAGACAGGTCTGGACGTCGGCGGCGGGGCCTGCACCACCCGGGCACACTCCCCAGACCCCGCCCCCCATGGCTGCACACACCCCTCTGCATCTGCTCCACTTCAGAGATCTCGCTCCAGGAACGTTCTCTGCACGAAACCCCTTACGGCTGTAAGACATGAATTTGCAGCTGCTATCTTGGGTAAGAAAAAATTATTTACCTCCTTTTTTTTCTTTCTACAAAAAGATTTCTGATATCATGGTCCTACCCAGCAAGGCTGGCTGGTAATTTCATATGTCATTATTTCAGTCTCCTCCAACCCATTTTAGGGCCCTGCAAGAAAACGTGCATCTTACAAAGACTACAGGTGAGGAAAGATGCCTGACGCCCGCATTCCCTCACCTCACAGCGTCGGCCCATACTGATTGGTGCAAAGGCATCTGCTCTCCAACCCTCACACGTGCCTGCTATGGTCCCTTCAAGTCCACTGACTCTCTGCTTTGAAGCACAGGGGTCCTCTCAGGGTACAAAGCTAAGGCCTTAGGTTTAACTCCCTCCCCCAGAGCACACAGTCATCTCTCTGAGATCCTGCCACCTTTCCAGGGTACTACCTGGGAACCACACAGCAAACACTGCCTGCCACTCATGACAGCCATGACCATCCACAGTCCAAGCTGGATGAACACACAAGTGTCTTGTGCTAGAGATTTGATAATGGGCGTGCTCTCTCTAGAAGGCCTAGGAGTGGGAAGAGAGTATAAAAACAGTGTCCTCCAAGGTAGTATAAATATGAATACACACATCTTGCAGAAACCTTTCTTTGTTAACTGCAAAACAAGCTGTTATTCAATATGGACTCAGCCCCATTAGTCTTGACTTTCACCCTCCCAATTTGAAATGCCAAGAATCAAAAATCCTGACATTCAAAATGTTCCCATGTACCTGCGTCAGGAGAAAAGTACAGTTCTAAACAAGCATTTCTCTGTCTGCAGCGAAGACAGCCAAGAGCCAAGTCCTAATTCCTTTTCCATCTGGGCCGACAATTGGACCACACTCGTCAGCCCCTCTGGTTAGATGTGGCCATGTGACAGAATCCCATGAATGTGGGCAGAGAAATATAACATACACCACTTCCAGGCAGGGTTGCTGGAATCTGCCCACGCGGTCACTTGTGTTTCATCCTTCTGTCCTCCGTCCCCTCTCACCCACCGGCTGGATGCAGAGACGCCTTTGGCAAACAGAGGCCCTGGGAACTCCCTGATGGAAGGAGACTGTTTTCTGTACACCAAGTTGGAGCACCGCCCGCTACCAACCCCACAAGCAGCACACCTCGGACCATGGTCTGAATGTTGACTTTGCTAACCTACTGAAATTAGGACACTGCTGAAGAAGACGCTGTCTGAATAATGACTACACTTGGTAAAAAGGCCATGGGAAAAGTTCCGTAAATTCAAAGAACTTTTCTCCAGCAGGGGAGCCTCTTTGGTGATATGTCACTGGAGGAAAAAGAAAGTAAAAGGGAAAGAGCAGGAGGGCCAGGTGGGGGAGGCACCAGAGGGCAGACCCTCACCCCGCCCACATTGCAGTTGCTTGCGCAATGGATTATTCATCTTGACTCTCTTCCTTTGCCAACAAGATCTAGTCGAATCTCGAATGCGGATGCGCACTCACAGAAGTGCTTTCCAAACAGGGCCCTTGACTCCTGAGAGTCATCAAGCTGTTTTTAATATTTCAATAATTCTAATTGCAATTATAAATTCACT